CAATGTAGATTGTGCTTGTCAGAAGAATCTACCCTCCCTCCCTCTGAAGAAGTGGTATATGAAAGCTTATAACTGAAATAAAATGTTGCTAGTCTTAAAGGAGCTATGGGACTCAGACTTTGCTCTCTCTCCTGGGTGGGACTCGCTCTTGCGCTTTGTCTCCCTCTCCCTTCCTCCCAAAGGAGGAGCCCTCAGCCAATGGAGGGGAAAGAGGCTTGGCTTGGAAGGAAGCAGGACGCAGCAGAGGGATCTGGGCAAAGATAAACTGCGATGCAGCAGCAGCCCCGGAGAAGGACGCAGGAGAAAGCCAGTTGCTCACGGGCTGGATAAAAGCCCTGCAGGGGCTGGATCTGGCCACGGGCCATATGTTTGACATCCTGAATTGCATTTGGGTTTGCAAAAGGAAGAGAAATGCTTCTTGGTCTTAACCTCTCCTGCGGGAAGGCTCTTGTTCTTATCCTCTACCAGCTATCTGTCCAGGCTTTCCCTGAAGAGCTGGACCCCCTGAAAAGGCACGCTAGCCACTATAGCCTGGATGAAGGGGTCCCCTTCCCAGCTGCAAAGCCACCCATTTCTCCTGGCTGTGATGTTTGTTGTCATGGTCCTGGCAGACAGCTGAATGGCATTCAGTGAGGCATCTGCTGAAAAGGCTGCTGCTAGAGCAATCGTCTTCAAATTGCCCTTTATTTCTGTGGAGATCCACAGGAGCCCGGAGCAGAAGGGAAGAATCCCCACTGCTCCAAACAGCTCTCCTGTAAGCACCAGGAACGTGGTGCTGGAGGGAAGAGGGGAGGGAATTGTCAGTTAACACTGTCATTCCCTGGAATGTGTGTGGGGAAGGTCCTCCTCTCCTCTGCCTGGTACACTAATGATGTCTCCTGTCTGGGCTGTTATCTGCTTCTGCTTTTCTGACCTTGGGGTTCCAGCTGCTCCTGACCTGCTGGGAACAAATGGATCCTATTTCGCCTGCTCTCTCTTCTCCTGCGTGCACATACAATGCTTACTGGCTTTTGCTTGTAATGGGGGTGTGTGTTTTGAAACTAGTATAACTTTGGGTGCCCTGCTGCTTTGGGCCATTCCTGACAAAAGACATTCATGTGTCATAGTTATGAACTACCAATAAACAGAATACTTCTTATGAAGCACTGTGTGGTGTGATCTGACTATCGAACCCTGACAGGAATCAGCCCTTCCTGCTCCCAAACAGAACTCTGAGAGGCTTGTAAAAGAAAAAAAAAGGCCTAAACCAGGGCTGGCCACAGCAAACCTGATCCAGACGGTTTGCTGTGAGAAAAAAACACACCAACAAACAAGAATCGCTGCAACTCCAGTTGGTTGCTCTGGGCGGTAGCATTGGCAGCCACCACGTTGGGGCATGCTGGGCCCTCCTTGTGGCCAGAACCTCCCTGGAGCAGCTGTCTCCTCTGCTCTCCACTGGCCATCTGAGCCTTGATAAGAGACATCCTGTTTAAAGCCTCCAGGGAGGGGGCATCCTTTGTGCATGGCTTCTGTCTGCCTTACACAGGGCCAAAAAGACTGGAGAGTGAGGGATAAGCCCCTCTCCTACAGAACCACAGGAAAAAGAAAATGGCAACCCTGCCTGCCATAGGGAGGTGCTTCCCCCAGATGTGTAGATTCCCTCACCCTAGGACCACTGGAGAACTGGCCTTATAGCCATAACCTCTCTCCTATGAATCCGTCTCAGATTCATGTTTCCAAGTGGTATTTGATCAGACAGGATACCAAGTAGCCATATTTGTCCCTAGCAATGTGGGGTTTTTTTTCTTATCCTTCCTTTAAGGAGTATGGGGAGGAATATACATAGTTCTCCTTTCCTTTATGTTATCCTCACAACAAACCTGTAATGTGGGTTGGGATGAGAGCGTGTGCCTGGCCAAGGGCCACTTGGTGAGGTTCATGGCTGAGTGGGGGTTTGAATCTGGGCTTCCCTATTTGTAATGGTGATACTCCAGGCTCTACTCTGCCTTTTCCTCCATGGAAACTGTTCTCTGGAGATCAGTTGTAATTCCAAGGAAACTCCAGGCCCTACTGCAAGGCTGGAAACCATACTTCGGCCCCGGTCACACGGGCAGGAAACTGCGGGGGAGAAGCGTGGCTGTTTGCCCTGGGGCAAACTACTGCACAGTTACTCGATCAGACCTCCCGTGGAGGTCCTGTGGAGGTACCGTGGAGGTTCCATGGCAAGGGAGAGGTGCTGATCACAGGACAAGCCGGCGCGCAATGAAGAAGCGCGTGCCGCGGCAAACTGTTTTGTTTTTGTGTGTACACGACGAAAGGCATGCTCCGTTGGGTGCGTGTGCGCATCCACAGAGACGTGGACAAAAAACCCCCACCTTATTTGCAAGGGGACATGGGCGGGCGCCGGATGCCACTGGAAACGCGATCAGACGCCCGCCCTTGCCCCGCAGTTTCCGGAAACTAGTACCTCCGAGGTACTAGTTTTTTGCCACGCAGTTTCGGCTGGAAGCCTCGGTTGTGCCACGGGAGTGCTACACTTCCCAGATGTGCTGGTGAGATCGCGCCCGGAAACTCCGCCTGTTTTCCGTCTCACTTGTGTGGCTTCTGTTCCGTGTGACCGCAGCCCTCAATACAGGAAACCTGCTTGCTTTTACAGGTAGAAGAAGGGGCTGCCCAATAGCTGCCATGATCACCATCTATCCTCCAGGTTTCAGTCTAGAGATGCAACATTTCTCAACTGTATGGAGGTTTGAACTGCCTGCTGCCTGCTTGCTGTGAGGAATGCCATCCCCATACATTTATCACGGAATACCTTAAATCAAGAGCAAGTGAGAGAGACTCTTACATAAATATTGACAGAGAACTAAATGAGATACCAAAGGCCAATAAAGGTCATAGGAATAGCACCAGCCTTGCAGGGCTAAATTCGGGATGGCCTTAAATTATGCAAAGATGACCAGGTCTGAAAATCGCTATTGCTGAAAGCTAAAAATTGGTCTTTGAAAGCCAGCAGTCTCCCCGGTGAAATTACTTCTCAGAAAGCAGCACTGAGCAGCAACTAGAGAACATGGAGCTCATTCCTGGATTCCTGCTTACCAAGCAAGTTTGAGTCTGAAGAAACAGAGGGCTTTTGCAGGTGTGCAGGTGAAATGTTCTTAACGAGCAACTGGGGCCCCCCCCCCCCACCCTTCTTCTGAATCCACATGCAGAATGTAAAATAGTGACCTCAAGGGATTCAATTTTCTGCCCCGCAATAGATATAAAAAACGGAACAAGGAAACACTCCAGCTTGTAATTCCAAAAGAGACTGTACTACTCAGCAGTTTCCCCCTGCTTAGGGAGGCAGCTTCCTCCACACATTGTGAGGCTTCTGTTGTACGGGTAACCCTGAGGGATTCACAACAGAACTCAGACTCTGAACAGTTAGGCTTTTTCCCCCGAAGAGGGTCTTTGAAACCATCGTATGGTGTACTAGGTAAGGTCAGAATAACATGCAGCCTTCGAACCTTAGTCTGTGCAGGCTTTCAAAATCTTGCTAGCATTTAGAGAACATTTTCCACGTCTTAAAACGTGCATGTTGATAGACCTCATGGGTGCAGAGACGTATATTCGTTGATTACAACAATTTATTGCCAAAGCATATTCACAAGACCTTCAGCCACCTTCCCCCACCCAAAAAAAACACCCCTTTTGACCAATTATGGGATTATCCAGATGGTTTTCAAGTTTACTCCCCCACTCCGGTTGTCTTACAGTGTAATTCTAAATTCATAGGTGGCCTTAATTCTGCATAGGATTGCACGGCCAATTTGGTATCACACATTCTTGCCCTACAATAACTCACTAAACTGGGAAAGGTCATATGCCAAGGTAGATTCTAATATGTAACTCAGAAAGAGAGATTCTCTTGAATGACATGATTATAGATGGCTAAATTATTGGCATATGGCTTGAGTCATATGGCCAGAACTGGCTGAAAGGCCAAACCCTTCTGCTTTTCAAAGGAACATTTTTTTGAATCCCAGCAAGATTTGAGCTAGACTGGAAGGTCAACTTTGTATATTTTAAGGCCAATCTGCCTTATTTGATACAGGAAAGTGATGCAACAGTATGGAGATCAAAGAGTGATTAGGCGATTCTATTGAACTCCATTCATACCTGCAAAAGAAAGTTGCCCAACTGAAGGGGCCGAAAATAAAGATAATCCCCATAACCAATTTTGTTCCTCTGGTCTGTTGGGTGCCTTTTTCAAGCACTGGTGGCAATATTATGTGCAAAGGAAAATTATACGACAGAAACAATTGTAGGTAGCCGTGTTGATACATAGCACCTCCCGCCTCCAAGCATGCAAATTCCCTTTGATCGATGATAGGTTTTTCTGGTCTTATTAAAGAGCATTACATGACTTCTGTATCAAGACAATGATGCCTGTTCTTTTTTCCTTTTCCTTTTGAAAACATGACATAATGTGCATTAAAATCAGTTGGTAGAGGGAAATTGCACAGGAGTCCATCGATGCTGATGAGTGATCATCATCTTGTGAGCAGGGAGTCTAAATGCATAAGATCCTTCCTCGTGATTTTGAGCACGGCATTTTTACAAGCCAAAAATTACAGGCAGGTGGGAGGGTGGGACCAGCATGCTCCTGCTCCCTCCCTCTCTACATGCATTGATTTCAGCTCACATAAGGTTGTGTGCAGAGTGTCAGAGTAAAAACTCTGCAGGGGAAGCAGTGAGATTAAACTGCAGCTACAAAGCTAATGTGCCAGTCAGCAACACCTTCTATGTGCAGAACTAGGGTGGTCATGTGAAAGAACCTATCAGCATGGCCCTGAAACTGTTCCCTGAAAGGAGAGAGAATTCTATTTTACATGGCCAAAGAAAACATGAAACGCAGCAGAGATACATTCACACAACTGTGTATTCCAAGCATGTAGATTTTTTTATTAAGTGTTAACTTTGGTTCTAAGAATTTCACCTTCATTTTCATAACACTTTTTAGTTAAAAACAAATAGGCCAGAGCAAATACAAAAAAATATTAAATTACAAAAACAAACCCCATTAAGGCTCCCTTTTTAATATTTATACACACTCAAATCGATGGACAGAAGACTGATAAGAACTGGGAGGAAATACTAAATTTTAACTTAAATAGTCAAGGCCAAGTAGTTTTAAAAGCACTGATCAATGAAGAGACAAATGGTAAAACGGAGTCAACTATGAGGATAGCTCAAACAAAAATTCTCAGCAGATTAGGAAGGGTAATATTGTGAACTTATCATTTTAGCTGTAAGACTTGTTCTCTGCCACTGAAAATAAGGAGTTTTAACAGTCCTACAGAATGTGTCAAAAATATTGGGAACTTGTCTGTCACACATCAACACAACACAAAATTCTTGATTCCTACATAAGGAAGTCTAGCAGACTTTTAGATGGGCCAGAGGCATGATAATGTCCTACAAGTAGTTAGTAAAGTGACTCCCACCCCCCTGCCCCACACCAAGACACTACTATGTATTGTATCTACAAACAATTTCAGGGTGTCATAGACAACGTCTGTCCTGACCCCACCCAGTCATATAGTGTAGTCAGCTAAAGGTCTGATTCAAGAGTGTGAAATTTATGGGCTCCCCTCTTACTATGTTTAGAATGCTTTGGGCCGAAATGTATTAATTTGAAACTGAAAGATAGGCTGAGGGCTCCATTCCCAGATTCTGAGCACCCTAAGATATTCACTGAGCCAGATATTTGCTGTAGGCTAGGAATCCAGAAGTGTGCCTAGTTATGTAAAGTATAATTATGCAGGAGAAGCATAAGAAAAATATGGCAGTTGATATAAAGCATTAAAGCAAGTTATTCTGGTGTTTCTTACCATCTTGATTCTTTCTACGCACTGCAGAAAGAAAGCTGAAGGTAAAGGAGGTTAGTGGCAAAATCCAGTTAGCCATGCACAGTGGAGGAATGAGCCATTTGCCATTAGAAAACTCTCAACGCTCCAGAAGAGTTAGCGAAAAAGAAAAAAAGCTACAATACTTCAGATTATGCTTTGCAAAAGCAGCAGAAGCAGGGAACCATCGTGAGTGTCTTCTGCACTGTGAAGTCAAAACCTGGCTTTGTCAACCTCCCTTTACTCTCCTGAATGTGCATGCTTTCTAAATCCACATCAATGATAATATTGTTTGTCAGGGTCTAAATTATAAGTAAATTTAATCCCCACAAGATTTAGTTAACTGTTTCTTGGATTTACAATGTGATTGCATTCTCAAAGAGTTGGCTGGAATTGGACAACCTGGAACACTTCATGCCAAAAGGAAGACTGCTCATGGTCAATGGTGCATCACAAGACTAGCCTCAAAATTGTTTTTTCCCATTCCCACTGCTTGCAGCAATGACAAAAATCAACTGCTTCCACTGCTGGTGCAAATGGACGTTGCAATCGGATGTAGCTACAGAAAGTAGGATGCATTATTGCTCAATGTTCCGAAGCAACAAAAAATGGACCTAATCGTCCTCTAATGTTGCTCATGTAATTAAACTGCGGTTAATAATGCTCAGATGATCTGAACGGAAAGTCTTAGTTATATCCATTTTGAAGTGTATACCCTATCTGTGTACCCAGAAACCAAAAAACTGAAACATTTATTCCCATCTCTCACTTTTGTACTAAAACTAACTTAAAACTGCACAGATCCTGCTTTTAGGACACAATCTGCATGTGACCATTTTGCAGAGCAAATTCTGTTCCCAGTTAGTAATGAAGATGCACACCTTCCACCAGACTCCTGGCGGTGGGGGAGGAGACATCCGTAAGAAGCCCTCGGAGGCCCAGATCCACATTGCATAATTCAAACTCCCTGGAGCCACAGGAATACTTACAAAGAACTGTAGAACTGAAAGGTCACTCAAGATTTCCACACCCAACTGGATGAGTTAGCTGGCAAAACACAGGGAAAGCTAAGGCAGGCCAGAGTTTAGGATTGTTCCTAAGAAAGCCCATTTCAGCAGGCTTGTGTTACAAGAAAGCTATTTTTTCCCTTGACAAGCTGCCGCTCTGTATCTGAAATGCAGAGGTATTCTTACTGAATGGAAAAACAGAGAAACCAGCACAGAATCAAGCTTCTTACACCAGGGGGGCAGACAGATGGTTCTTCTAAAACAATTTCTTATCGTTTCCAATCTCTACTCAAGCCTTGACAGGCACTTAAGCATTTTACACAGTCCACTGTTATTTTTATACCTACTGTTTTGTTTTTTACTTTAAGACAGAAAAATTGACATGGTTTAAAAAAGGGCATGGTTAAAAGGGCTATTTTATAAATGGGTACACACCCAACGTGATTCTCCCTTTCCCCTTTTGAACAGTAAGTCTTTATGCATGAACTGCTTTTGAAAATGCTTGGTTTCAAAAGCAGCATCCCATGTTGCAGGGGGAGGGGGTGCAAGAGAAGCAAGCTGCTGCCAAGAAGCTCAAACTTCGAAGAGTCCCCCTCAAGAGGACACAGAACCAATTGTGCAGCTTTTTACATCCCAGTGAAAAGAAGCAAGTCAAAGAATCAGAGAAGGGTCTGCTGCAATTCAGGCATAGCAAGTGCACATTACATAGTGAAGGCAAAGCAGTATGGCTGCTTCACAAGGTAGAGGCAGGAGTCACGTATTTGTGTGCATTCAAATGCACAGCTCTGCACCCTGCTGAAGAGATCTTGTAGCAGCTCCATGACCAAGAACGTTCCTCTACCTCTTGCTGTCCATATTTGCTCACAGTGATGTTGGTGTGGCCCATCCCAGGCCACACACCTAGTAGCAAGCAAGACAAATCCAACTTCAAGTCTCAAGGAATTCAGAAAAATATTAGAGACCGTGGGGTGCCCATTTCCAAACTGCGGTCCCCTGCCAAATGCAAGAGAAGTGGTTTCAGGATGCTTTGTTTTTCTGCATAGCAGAATTCCACAAAGAAGGGGGGGGGGGAATTACACACGCTAGCCTGAGATCAGGAATAAACAAGCAAAGCAACAAGTCCAATCTGTTTTCCTGGTCACCACTTTGGAGAGCTCTTTCCACCAACAAGTTGCTTGTTTATCCGCTAATCGCTGCATTGTTATTGGCGAATTTGTATCAGTTAAACTTGCAGTCCATACACGTTCCACAAACTGACCTCATATTGAGTACATTTTATACCCAGGTGCGAATTCTCTTCCTCCATAGCAACTGGGTGAGATGATCTTGGCTGAAGAAACCTCTCCCAGGCAGCCCCAGAGGAAAGAGCTCTAAGTCTTATCAGCAGCTCCACTTCTAGGAGTTTTGCGCTTCTGTTGATTCTTGAGTGGTCCTCCTCAAGTTGCCTTTCACTTTAACAAACTCAGGTGCATTCTCTTGTTCTTCCTGCATCTTCTGTTTTTCAAGTTCAAGCTTCAAATAAAATTCAGATTTTTTTTTTCAAAAGAGGAAGAGACAGGGGGGGGGGGAATTATTGAACAAAATTCACACCCTGCCTTTCTGCCCTCATAAGGGCCACCAAGGTGGCTAACTCATTAAAGTATACGTAATAAAATCGTATCTTAAAAACGATTAAAAGAAACAAAAAAACCCCACATTACTGAAACATAAGGTAAAAGGTAAAGGTTCCCTTACTCGAAAGCCAGTCGAATCCGACTCTAGGGTTGCGGTGCTCATCTCCGCTTCAAAGCCGAAGAGCCAGCGCTGTCTGAAGACGTTTCCATGGTCATGTGGCCAGCATGACTAAACACCAAGGCGCACGGAACGCTGTTACCTTCCCACCGAAGTGGTACCTATTTATCTACTTGCAATTTCTTGCTTTCGAACTGCTAGGTTGGCAGGAGCTGGAACGAGAGACGGGAGCTCACTCCGTCATGCGGCACCCGGGTCTCGAACTGCTGAACTACTGACCTTCCACAGCCTGCAGTTCAGCGTCTTAACCACTTAAGCCACCGCAGCTCCTTTGAAACTGAAACATAAACCCAGAGCTAAAATATATACAAAACATAAAAACAACAAAACACTGGGCAGAGAGGAGGGACCACTGAGAGAATGCTGAATGGAAAAAAAAGTCTTCACCCACTGGCAGAAGATGGCAACAGAAAGGGACAGGTGAGTCTCCCTGAGGAGAGAGTTCCAGAGTTTTGGTACCAAGACCAAGAAGGCTCTCTCCCAGGATGCCACCTACCAAATCTCAGAGGGCGGAGGCACCTGAACCAGGGTTTCCAAAGAAGACCATAGTGGTCAGGTCAATTAACATCAAACAAGTCACAGCAATGCTTTTCAGGACATAAGTAACAGCGGTAAAAGGAAACCAATTCAGTGTTCAACAGAGAGGTATCTCACAATAACCTTGAAAAGTAGGCAACTTTAGTATTTGAATGTTGCCAAAGCAGGGTTCTCTTAAAGTTACAAAATGAGTTGGGGACACAGTGAGATTTAAACCAGGGGCCACTTGGATCACAACTCCACTGCCCACGTACTGAGGGCCCCTCTTCCATGAACTTGACCCTATCATTTTTAGAGCCCCATATAAACACTTGCTTTCTACACAGACACAATGTGAAAATGACCACTGGCTCACTCTTCTGTCTATGTTGTTTTGCTGCCAGTGGTACAGACCACATTCTCTGTAAAATTCTACTGGCTTCATCCCCCCCCCCATACCTGTTCCAATTTCTGCTGCCGTTTAAGTAACTCTATTTCCAAATCAGATTTCTTCTTTTGTGCCTCCTCTTCCTTCTGCTGTTTGATAACTTGATCTCGTTTCCGTCTTTCCATCACCTTTTGCAATTCTGGTTTATTCTGAGGAGCCAGACCCCTTGCAAGAGGGAAAACAAGCAAAAAAGATCAAGATGGGTAGCCATATTAGTCTGTCTGTAGCAGTAGAAAAGAGCAAGAGTCCAGTAGCACCTTAAAGACTAACAACATTTGTGGCAGGGTATGAGTTATCGTGAGTCACTGCTCACTTCTTCAGATATTGCTAGAATATGAGTCTGTCCTTATATTTTGGAGACAGGAGTGATTTCAGATGCCAAATGACAATAGCAGGCTTGACTGGATAAGATGTGATATGCAGAGGGGTAATAGGCATGGAGAAATCAGCACTGGTAATAAGACAGGAAACCTAGATCTCAATTCAGTCCAGGAGGATGCATTGTCTTGAGCTTTATTATGAGTTGCAATTCAGCAGTCTTCTCTTTCTGATTTCCCTTTGGCATTCCTTTGCAAGAGAACTACTGCTCTTAGGTCAGCAACTGAATGTTCTAGAAGGTAAAAATGTTCCCTCACTGGTTTTGAATGTTATTGTTTGGGCACACTGTTTATGTAGAAACAGAAATCTATCTGATAGAGACCCACACAAACACCCTCCTCCGTCTTTTGAAAGTTCTTACAGCATAGAACAATGAATAATAGGTTTAAAGGTTTGTTTTTTTAAAAAAACATCAACTTTAAGCTACAGAAGAGTCTCCACTGACTTCCATGAACTGTATTACACACTCCCACAGCCCAATGACAATCCATTTCCACAACTTCCTAATTTGTCTCCAAATCATCTCAGAGGCAGACTGCTGTTGGCAGTTATATTATGCAATATTCAACAGTACTAAGAACACACTCTATCTGGATTCCGCAATATAATTCTTGCACCCTGAAAATTTATTTAAATCTTTGCCATGCCTGGACCATTTTGCAATTGTCATTTGTAACACAGACGATCCCATGACAGTAAGACCTCCATGCTTTCATCTTCAACTGCTGTGACAGGGAAATCAGTCATCAAGGAACCAAATCCTCTTAAACCCCTAAGCTTAATAATGGCATACATTCATTAAAGCATGTATTTAATAAGTATGTATCATTGTTCTTCAAATGCTAATGGGGTGGTGGGGAAGAAAACAGTGTTGCACTTACATTTAACTGTTGTTCATTAAGATGTCTTCATTGCAGGCACACATTGGGACTGCACTTGCACAGGCCAGCCACAGGAGGCGCTCTACAGCTATTCCTTCTATCTACAAAAGGCACTAAGAGGGGAGCCCCTACCCTGCAGAGCCCACTGGAACGTCTTTCCGGCTCAAATAGTCATGTACTCTGCAGGGAGGGGCCCCCCTTCCCTCAGTTTTTCTGAGCCGCCACAAGTATCACTGAGAATACGTTTCATGAACTCACAGTGGGGTCGGAGGGAGAGAATGTGTGCGTGCACAGAAGGCATCTCAATGAACAACAGTTACAGGTAAATGCAACACTTTCAACTTCAGTCTTCTGTGCATTTCCACACTGGGATACTAACAAGCTCCTTACCTTGGAGGTGGGTGTAGGTATTTAAGATTTGAATAACAGAAAGAGGAAAATGTGTGTGTGTGTATGAGTTTGTAAGGGGAAGTGTTGTTTTCTCGTAGGTAACAACAGAGTTTTGTGGTGAGATATTGTTTTGTTAAAAGGGTTGGAGCTAAATGGATACTGAAAGTCTGCAGGGCAGGGTGGCCAAACTGTGGCTTGGGAGCCGCATGAGGCTATTTTACACATATTGTGTGGCTCCTGGCAGGGCGGTTGGGGAAGCAAAGGGCAGGCACACCTCTCCGATGGGTCTTCCCTTCCCCAATCAGTGCTCCCCTCCCTGGGTAGGCTTGAGGTGGGGGGTTGGCTTGCAGAAGGGATTTAAAGAGACAAATGCCTTCTCCAAGCTGGCCAGCAGGGGGGGGGGCGGACTTTGAGAACACATTCAAAGTTAAAGTTCCTTTCTTTCCACCTCTCCCTCCCCCCATCTATTTGCTTTCTTTTCACTTTCTTTCTTTGCACCTTTCTTTCTTTCTCTCTCCCATCCCTTCCCATCTAAAGTTAAATGTGTTCTCCACACCGGCTGGCTGGCTTGGCTCGGAGAAGGCATTTGTTTCTTTAAATCCATTTGTCAAGGCGGTGCAGCAGCAGGGCCATGGAACTTGGAGAACACATTTAAAGTTAAAAGTGTTCTCCAAGCCGCCACCCCATGGCTCCACCCACCAGCTTGGAGAAGGCATTTGTCTCTTTAAATCCCTTCTCCAAGCCAAGCCGTCTTGGTGTGTGTGTTTTTTCCCCCCAAGAACACATTTAAAGTTGCTTTCTTTTCCCCTCCCCCTCCATCCCCATCTATTTGCTTTCTTTCCGCCTCTTTCTTTCTTTTCACCTTCCTTTCTCTTTCTTCCTCCTACCCCCTCCCTCATCTATTTACTTTTGTTGTTTGTTTTTCTCTCTCTCCTTCTTTCTTTCCACCTCTTTCATTCTTTCTTCCCACCCCCACCCCCCCTCTCAGACAAATAAATATCATTAGCAAACAAATAGATATCAATGGGCAAATAAATACCATTATCAATGTTTTTACCAATTTTGATTTTATTTTTGGCAGTCTTATTAAATGTTAATAAAAAGCAAATTTGCATATTTGCCAACTAAAATGTGTGTATAATATTTGTTCATGTCTTGCAGCTCTCAGACATCTGACGTTTATTCTATGTGGCTCTTACATTAAGCAAGTTTGGCCACCCCTGCTGTAGGGTTTAGAACAGGTTTAAAAAAATAACCAATATTAGGTGGTACGTTTTGCTCAATATACTATAGTCATTGAATAAAAATTTTAGTTTTAAGATTGCTTATTTCTATTTAGAGTTAATAATAAGGAGTTTAGCTGTGTCCATTACCAGGTGATATACCGGGTGATATAAAGTATTCAGAGCATTGAAGCAAGTTTATATTAAAGGGATATGTACAGGAATACCTAGCTTTTATGTATTAAATCTGGTTTAAATTGTCAAATAATACATTTGGTCTGGCTATATTCTAACTAAGACTCTGAATATAAGTGTTTGAGTGTAAGGTTATTTTGCTGTCTGTCCTGCTACTACAAAATGTTCCTACAGAATCAGAGTTGGGAGCTTTTCACCTAGTTTGCTTGCATTTTTTGCCCATATTTTGAAAAGATAGCTGTTTTCCAGGGCTTTTTTCATGACTCTTGGCCTCTGCTAAAATTGTTAACCTTTCAGCATCAGGTCTGAATTTTAATCTTCTCAAACACCTTCTGCTATTGGGTCTTAATTATTTTAGTCCTTATTCATTTATCAGCCTATAATATTTGGATGTCTCTTATTGAAAATGATATTTGAAGTTCAACAGTTTATTCTTTCTTTTGGAGCATACTGAGTTCAATGGTGTATTTGTGTACAATGTCTTGTGTTAACTAAAAATTGAAGTTTGTAGCTTTTCAGGTTCAAGAATGACAACAATACAACATGGGAAATTAGCCCCACTGCAAATATTTCAACAGAGCTTTCTGAGATTAGTGCAAGCTTGCCAATATCATAGAATTATTTTTTCCCTAGAGCCCATTTATAAAAGGGTGTTTGAGTCTTCTGCTTTTTTGATTTATGATAACTTTAAGTTTCTCTTGTTTGAGTAAATATTGGAGTTTTCTCTTCATATTCCTCTTCTTATTGGGGTTCTCCCCAAAACAACATGAGTTTTTGTATCTTTTGACATTGTGGTTTAAGGTATATAAGGGGGGGGGTCCCCCTTCAATCAGCACCTATTGCTATTTTCTTTAATAAGTTACGTGCAGGCTGTGTCTTGATTTTTTCTTGCCTCCATTTATTTGTTTCTGTTCTGCTACATATAATGGAAATGTGAATGGTTTTCCTTAATATGAACTTGCCAATAGATCTATACAAAAGATATATGGAAACTTGCTGGAACCTGGCCAGTCCTGGTAGGATTCCATACCCCATAGAGGGTATCTGAGAAGCAGGCCTTGTTAAATTTCTAATCTGACCCACAATGTGAATTTCCCAAAATTGCCCTGCTCCTATTCTTAAAGAATAAAAATTGAAGAAGTTATGCTGTTTGATTAAGTATTAATGGCAGAGTAAAAGGGTTGTGTATGTGTATGTATATAAATATAAATGGAATTTTGTTTTTAATATGATTAAGTTTATAGTTATTAAAATGTCAGATGGCTATTGATGGGTTCTTCTTTTCAAAGATTCAGTTGAGTGTTGATAGTCTTAATTCTTATTTTGATTATCTGTCCTTATTTGAATTATTATTCTGCTTCTCAATGTTCCTTTTAATCCACCATTGTGTAATGATTGTATATTAGGTCTGTTTCCTTTCCAAGTGGATGTGTTAATATCTTATGTTTGTTACAGTTTGGTTTTTCCACCCAGGGCCCATCAGATATGGCCCATGTGTGAAAGAGGGAGGGCAACAAAGGAATAGTTTTGTTTTTTGTTTTTTGATCAGCACCCTCAGACCTAAACTAACCCCTGGCCCTTTTCAATACTGCATAAAGGAGTTTGCCTAGAATTCTGCACTCTAAAGCCTGTCAGTTATATTGCCAAATGAACTTTCTTTTTAAAATCCTGTTTATAATGACCTGAAAGACTATGTTTTATTTTTTTCCTCATTTGAATTTTTCTTGGACTCAGTATGAGACTGAATATAATATTGAAAATATTTCATAATCTACTTAGCCTGTTTTCACAGATACTTAAAAGACCTCCACCCTGAAAGCCTGGGGCAAAGATCTGAAGGAGGAGTCACCTTTGGTGCCAAGTGGGAAGGCCTATTATCCTCACCACTAATACAGCTATCCGAGTGGCAGAGCGAAGTCCCTGAATTCAAGCCTCCCATGCATGAAAAGTACTTAGTACATTCCCAAGGCAAGGGCAGGAGTGAGAAACAACAATGTGGAAAATATAAAGCTGTGTCTGAATTGTGCCGGGGGGGGGGGGTCAACTGAACCTGAAACCTCTCTGGACTACGTGGGTTCCACTCCAGAAAACCAGAAGT